ACTGGTTCCTTTTTCTTAGGAAATTTGTCAAAATATACCATGAGATTAACTATTTAACATTTTTGCCCGTATATTTTGAATTAAATTTAAATATGTCCATAAAAAATGCACATGGTTTTAACTTGAAATAGTAGAAGAAAAGTAAAATGTTAAATAAGTATAAAGCACATTTTGATCAATTTCCCCTTTTTCTTTTGACAAAAAAAAACAAAAAAATCCACTTCTTCAAGTTCTCCCGTTACAACCCAAACATAATCTCAAACCATTTCACTAGAATCTCAAAAGTGCAGGAGTACAGTCACTTAGTAACCTTATATTTTTTTATTAAAAACGAAAGGATTCTATACTTCTTCTACTATATAGAAGGTCTATGCTTTGGGTATGTTTGGTTCAACAGAAAATCCCTCTCCAAAAAGAGAGATTTCCAAGTTGTAATGTTCACCATGGCATGGCACAACACTTTCAAACTAAGTAGAAATCAAAGCACCTAACCGTATTTCAACATTGGCGGGTAGCCTGCTTTCCCATGCGCGAAGCATGAGAAAGCGTTGATTTGCAGATACATTGTTATCCCGGAGGGGGGTTCTTCCACAAACCAAACATCTCCTCAGTGCTTCTCTGTTTCGTGATTTTTGGTGCTCATATTAATGATATGCTGGTGGTTATGTGATGAGAAATCTTACGTGTCAAATATGAATAAATAATCTTCCTAGGTTGAGAGACAACGGCGCACCAGTGGTCTAGTGGTAGAATAGTACCCTGCCACGGTACAGACCCGGGTTCGATTCCCGGCTGGTGCATTTGCTTTCTTTTTTAACCAATTCAGCTACAAAATAGTTGTACCAAAATACCCTCTCATGTAAAATTTGCTTTTTTTTTTTTTCCCTATTCCCACCCTTCCAAAATAATTGTACCAAAATCTCTTGTACATTAATTACCCTCTCATGTTATTTTATTTGCTTTTTTTTTCCTATTCACCCTTTTTTTTTTTTATGTGCAGTTAGCATACGGATGCATCCGTAGCTGTAGAAGTAAGGTGTGCACCTTCAAATTTTATAATGGTATATAATTTTGATGTAAAATGTTCTTAGGATTATCTCAAAATCTATTTTTATATCTAATTATAAAATTTTAAATATGGTTAAAATCAAATAGATCTATAAACATATGAAAATCTTGAAAATGGATGGTGTAGATAATATGTAGTAAAATGCACTATTTCTGATACTTAAACTTTTTTATTTTTCATGGTCATACATCGGGATGTCGAGATGATCAATCAAAAGGCTTTTCAACATTAAAATTGCCTTTTAGAATGGATTTTTGAGGTGCATCCGTAGTTCCACATTTGAGGTTGCAACCTTATATAAACTTTTTCCATTTTTTTTTTTTTTTTCCTATTCAGCTACAAAATAGTTGTACCAAAATCTCTTGTACTCTCATGTTTAAAATTTGTTTCGTTTTTTTTTTCCGATTCAGCTATAAAATAGTTGTACCAAAATCTCTTGTATCCTCTCATGTTTAAAATTTCGGGACCGTTTATTTTCTATTAAACTATACCAAAATCTCTTGTAACTGCTAGCCTCCTAATTATGTTTTTCTTTGTTCTTTTTACAAATTTGATATTTTTATTTTATAAAATGCCGAACTCTTCTATTAGTCAACTTTCTTTCCTTTCTCATCCGTTGCGTAAAACCAATCTTACCTACGTAGACTCCAATATATAAATTTAGACATGAAAAAGAAAATGATTTTTTTTTTAATATTATGACTATTTTACAATTGCATTAATATCTTTTGAACTTGGAAAATGATTAATCAATATCTTTATTAGTATTGTTCATGGATTATTACTATTTATTTATTCATTTAATTAAATAAAATTCTCAAAATACTTGTTGTTGTTATTATTTTAATTATTATTTAACAATTATTAATATATTGTTGTTGTTGTTATTGTTTTAATTATTATTAATTAAAATTATTATTATTACTTTCATCATCATCGTGATCAATAAAATTTGTATATCAAGTTATAAAAAAAAAAAAAACGAATGACTAACATATGAGTTTGGCATTTTGTGATTAAATTTGTAAAGAACATAGAAAAATATAATTAGGGGGTAATGGTCTTAATATTTTTAATTTGAAGGGGTACTAAGAGATTTTGGTGATCCCAAGATACTAATAGAGATGGAAATTTCGAGGGAGGAAGTAAACGTCCTTTTGCCTCTTTGTGTTTTTACCTATTCAGGTAGAAAATAGTTATTTGGACCATTCTGAAATGCAAAAGACAACTTGTTAACTTTATTATTATTATTATTTATTTATTTTAAGCCAATGTTAAGGAATTCCTATTTGAATTTATATTGCAGTGTTCGACTGTCCTCTACTTTCTTTCTCTCTCTTCATTCCATTGATACCAATTGTTGCATCTGTCTCTTGGAGGCTCTCTCTCTCAAAGGGCATGTCTGAAATGAGTGGAATCGGGATGCAGAACGCTCCCTCTTCCACTTTTGTTGTGGATGGCATAAAAGTTATGTCTATGCACTTTTGAGAGGGGTTGGAAGGCCGTCCTCCCAGATTCCATGCTCGACAGCAAACACGAGACCGTGATCGGTGGAACTTGGGTTTTCCACTTCCAAAAAGTTCCACCGATCAGATCACATTCGCCCCAATCGACATAAATGTGTGTGGTAACCTATGTCAGGATCTTTAACTCTAATATTATCTTACTCTTATGGTTTTCAATTTTACTATGTAAATGAAGAACTTATATTCGATCTCAAATATTTGAGATAAGTTTGACCGATCAGAGTAATGCTATGGCTAATATTTGTTATTATTTTTCTAATTTGTTTTTTTATATTTCTAAACCAATATTTAAGACTTCCTATTTGGATTTATATAACACAGTGGTCCACTCTCCCCAACTCTCTCTTCCAATCATCAGAGTGTTCCATTTCTTTCTCTTTAAGACAAACGAGTATGGTACCCCATCTGTTTTTGAGTCCAAGTCAATGACACTCATGCGGCCATCTGATTTGAAATTTAACATGAAGAAATGACTTTTTTTTAATGTTTTTCTTATTCCTAATAAGAGAGAAACACTTTTTTTTAATGTTTTTCTTATTCCTAATAAGAGAGAAACACTTTTTTTTAATGTTTTTCTTATTCCTAATAAGAGAGAAACTTGTGTTCAACACAAAAAAAATTTAGAAGAGATTTGTGTTCTTTGTTGCTTTGAATGCTTTATAAAATTTTCAAAGTAAACGAGAGAGAGAGAGGGACTTTATTGTATAGGGTTTAGACTGCAAACAATTCCAAAGCTCCAGCCAAAAATTTCCTAAACGACCGTCTTTCTTTAACTTAATGCCTTTCTCTTTTAGGAATAAGGTTTTATAGACTCGAGGCTCTAAACAATCAAATCAAAGCCCACCTCAAATATTTTATTAAAAGAGGTTGTTTTGATGCTCAACTATAGAAATTATAGAAACCTGCATTTATTTTTTGGTACAATATTTTCTTTCATTTGATGTATACCCATATTACGAATGTGGTTCATTGCACATATTACTTTTTTAGTAGTATACAACTTTGTAAACTTTTAAATTAGAACTCTTGTTCACATCTATGATAAGCTCTGAAATACAGTTTCTCACACCAACTACCCTCAAATTGATCATCTTGACACCAAGTGCATCTTGTAACGCATTTTTTAACTGTCAATTTCAAAATTTTCAAGTTCTCATGGATTGGCTCGATCTACACTATTTTCGACACTTTAAATTTTATAATTAAAGATGAAAACATATTTTAAAGCTATCACAAAGATTTCCACTATTGAAACCGCATTTCTCGACACTATTTGAAAGTGCACTTTACTTTGATTGTTTAGATACAAACCGCACCCTTAAGATCTACACCAATATTACGGTTTGTGTTTGCTAGAAAAATGAGTACTAATAATGTTAATGATAATAATATCTATATTAATAAATTAGGAGGGTTAATGGGCTTGGCCAATAGGCCTAAGCGACCAAAATATCACTAGAGAAGCTCAAGTAAGAAAACCATAATAATAATATTATTATTATTAAAACTCAGTTTTCTGGTGAGCACAAACCTTAATTTTGGTGTAGATCTTAAAGGGAGCTTCAATAGCGATAGCTTGATAGTGTTAGGCCGATTTTTCTTTTCTTTTATTTATAGTTTTAAAATTATTTGTTATTACTACTACTACCATTGCTATTATTATTTATTGTAAAGGGTTTATATAAAGTTGCCACCTTATAGTAAGGTGCACATTAAAAAATAATTAGAAAAGAGAGTTCAAAAGTTAGAAAAAACCTAATTGATCATCTTGACCTCTATATATGTGGATGAAAAGAAAAAAAAAGTTGAAGCCTTAAAAATAGTTTTTCTTGTAACAACTTTTCTGAATGGTCAATTTTTAAAGTTTTCAAGTATATAAAGATATGCTAGATTTGTATCAATTATGAAATTTTTAAATTTCATAATTAAGGTTGAATATGGATTTTCATGGAAAGGTTTCCAACACATGAAACTACAGCTTTTAGCAAAAATTAAAGGTACACCTTGCTTGCATAGTATCAGGTCGGCAAAATTTTGAGGGAAAATTTCGTATAGAACCATAATTCCTCATATTATTTAATGGTACACCCTCTTTTCGTTTTTCTTTCAAGCGGCATAAAGAAATCCTTAAAAATTACCTCCTCATCTCTTATATCCCTATTTTATTTACTTTTGAATATAAAAATTAGCCTTAACAAATATTTTTATATCATTTCATCTCAAATATTTTTTAATCATCTTTTTCCCTTTTTACTCATTAAAATTGGTTTTGGGTTGAAATGATATAAAAATATTTATTAGGACGAATTTTTATGATCAAAAGTCAATAAAAGATGAAAACAAGAGATAAGGGGTATAATTAAATATTTAGGGGATTTTTTATACTGCGTTTGAAAGAAAAAACGTCAAAAAAAAACTCTCATGAAATAATAGGAAAAATTAGAGCCCTTTACGAAATTTTTCCAAATTTTGACTAACGCCTTGCTTCCTCCTCACCCTTATTTATTCACATGCAGTTTTTGTTTAAGTTGTCACCCATAACTAATGAGCAGAAAATTCAAAATTAATCTGCACAGAATGCTCTTATCACTTCACAAAAACATTCACGCTCTGAAATGCCAAGACCAATTTTCTTCCATTTCGCTCTCTAAACTCCAAAATTACACCTCACCCCATGAAGTTAGATCACTCCATGCACAAATCCTCAAGACCCAACACTCAGAAGACCTCTCTCTTCTCTCTAGACTCGCACACAGATACCTCCTTTGCCACTGTCTCGGAGATGCACTCCAAGTATTCGCCCAAATGAAGAGAGAGAAAGATCCTCATGTTTTCCTCTGGAACGAGTTTGTAAAATGGTATTCTAGAAATGGATTTTACATAGAATCGATGGAGTTTTACCGCTGTTTATCTCTCTCTAAAACTCCCCCTAATGAGTTCACGTTCACCTTCATTCTGCCTGCGTGTGCTGGTTCAAGGTCTCTTTTCCATGGCCGTTCAATACATGCTCAAATAATCCTCAGAAACATGGATTCAAATCTCTTTGTTGCTACGGCTCTAATAGATATGTATGGTAAATGTGGTGATTCTCTATCTTCGCGCCAAGTTTTTGATGAATTGAGACAGCCAACTACTGCTTCTTTTAATGCTTTGATTTCTGGGTACGTGACCAATGGGGAGTTCAATGAGGCAATGTGGGTCTTCAACCAAATGCTAATTTCTAGAGAGAGAATGGATGCCATGACAATGGCGAGCATCTTGCATGCTTGTGCTTCACTTGGGGCTCTGCAGCAAGGGAGATGGATCCATGAACTTATAGAGAGAGAGAATATAGAGAAAAATGAATATGTAGGAGCTGCATTGATAAACATGTACGCCAAGTGTGGTAGTATTGCAGATTCTCTTAAAGTGTTCGATGAAATTAACCGAAGAGATTTGGTTTTATGGACTAGTATTATATGTGGGTTAGGATCCCATGGGCTTGCTTATGAGGCTGAAAGGATCTTCTTAAGCATGATTAGAACTGGGATTAAGCCTGACACTATCACTTTTGTTGGGATTTTATGTGGGTTTAGCCATGTGGGTTTAGTTGAAAAGGGGTGGGAATACTATAAGTTGATGAGTAGTTATGGCATGGAGTATAGTTTAGAGCATTGTAATTGTATGGTGGACATGTTAGGGAGGGCTGGGAAGCTTGAAGAAGCCGAGAATTTTGTCAGAGAGATGGATATGAAGCCTGATGCAGGTATATGGGGTGCATTGCTAAATGCGTGCAAGATTTATAAGGATGTTGAGCGAGCCGAGAGGGTTGTCGAGGAGGTTTTGACATTGGATTCGGACAATGCAGGTTGGACAATCGCTCTCTCTATACATAAGATAGGTCTATTGTTCAAAGTTGATATAATTTGGATATTTTACTAAAGTTGATAAATACGCAATGGGGTATTGTAAGTGGCAGAGTGGCCTTGCTGCCACGATCCACTGAGATTCAGCTCTATGTCGCAACAATTTTCATTCTAAAAAAAAAGGGCATTTTTTACCATATTGAAAAGATTTTTAAATACATTGAGAATTAGATATTATTTTGAAGTTGGCTGGTTTTGATCAATCAAGTTTTCATTTTTCATCTTCATTTGCAATCAATTTGACTTGTCTTTGTTGAAGTTGGCGGTGTTTTGTCGACCAAGTTTTTGATCTTTTATCTATCATCACCATTGGATTGTTTTTTTGGGGGATGGAATACTGATTTTTCATCAATTTTTCTACCCTCATCTTTCGTTGACAATTCCAAGTTTTGCATGGGATCATGAGGTTGGCAGTGCAAGCTTATATTTTCTCTCCATATACATTCTTCTTAGATAGCAAGTATGCCAATGTTTGCAAGCTGTACTATGTTATTAGTTATTTATACTCCAAATTATTTTCATTGTTTTTGTTTATTGGAGAGCCTATGTGAGAGTTTGGTACTTAAGAGTATATGTTAAAAGAGTTCGCTTATTGAATTAGTGTTTTGTAGAGGCCTCATCCATTTGAAAGAAAAATGCAGGTTGGTATGTTCTAATGTCAAATATATATGCGACTTCGGGAATGTGGGATGGTGTTGCAAAGATGAGGACTCTTATGAAGCAAAGGAATGTTTTGAAACTGCCTGGTTGGAGTTGGATTGAAGTGGATGGTCAAATCCACAACTTTTTAGTTGCAGACAACTCTCATCCTCTCTCCTACGAGATTCATAAGCTCACGAAGGACTTGGACAAGAGGATGAGGGAGATGGGTTATGTTCCATTGTTAGATTGTGTTTTCAGCAACATGGGTGAAGGTGAGAAGGAAGGGTTATTATGTGGACATAGTGAGAGGCTTGCAATTGCCTTTGGGTTGCTAAGCACAAAGCCTGGAACAACTTTGAGAGTTATGAAGAATTTGAGGGTGTGTATAGATTGTCACAATGCCACCAAGTTTATAACTAGGATAGTGGGGAGAGAGATAATTGTCAGGGATGCAAAGAGGTTTCACCATTTTAGAGAAGGGCTATGTTCCTGTGGGGATTATTGGTGATCTTGGCTTTCTAGGCTAAGGCACATCCAAGGCGTGTCATTCTCTGTGTCATAGTTTTCCAAGCAACAACACCATCGTCTTGCACCTCGTATTAGAGATTTCCAATTTAATATGCACCAAAAGTATTGTCAAATAGAAAAAGTTTTGTCATGTAAAGCCATACGCAGTTCAATTCAGTTTTACAAATTCAAGTCACTTTCATGCAATGGTGTCTCATTCCATGTGCTGTAAGTATTCTTTTATTTTTTGTGCTGACAGTCTAGTAAGGGAATTGTTGCCATTGTACTGCACCTCCTGTTTACCATATGAGTTGAGATAAATGAAGCAAATTATTTCACCACTCACACGTTGGTGCTTACAATTTCTCTGCAGCATTTCAAATATCCTTTCTTTTTTTTTTCTTTTTTTCTTCTTTTTAATTGGAAACTATTTTTCATTCCATTGTTTAACCTGCTGCAAAAATGTGTCTAAAACCCAGAGGGCTGTACAAATTTTTTTTTACATAAGATACGCATGTGCAAAATGTGCATAAAAATTTACAAATTTGGCTTTATGAGTACTGGTTACTAGCATTCATGGTGTGTTCGAGTTATTTTTAAGCATGGTCCTTCTGTTCCTTCATGTTTCAAGGTTTCTGCGAGATTGTTGGCTCCTTTTTACAGGTTTTTGAAGGAGATGGAGAAGTCTGATGCTAAGTCCAAGACTTCCAGGAACTGACCAGCAAAATGCTGTGGGAAGCCATCTCATCTCCAGCCCAATGGATAGCAGTGGCTGAGCCTCCCTCAACTAGGAGGTTTCACCACTTTGGTTGGAAGAATCTTAAACCGTCTAACATAGCTTGGACCTCTGGTGGCATCCAATGGCCTGCCGGGGCCTAAAAAAAAGAGGAGAATCTCTCCATCGTGGTCTCAGAATACAACTCCAATGCCTGTTGGACTAGGGTTGCGCTGGGAATTACCATTGAAGTCATTTTGATGGTTCCTTGAGGGAGTGGCCTGTGATCTAGGCTCCCTGCCATGGCAGGCCATTGGTTTAGCATGTTGAGAAAAGAGTATTTCCAGAAGGCTTTCCTACTCTGGGCGTAAGAAATGATCAGGGAGTTAATTCTGCCAATCTCAATTGAAATGCTCTTTAAAGGTGCATCTGCTTCCGTCTGAAAAGTTGCCACATCAGTCAGCCTCTCTTCAGCATGTGTGGTGGCATGTGTTGGTGATGGAGGTCTTTTGTTGAAGATGGGGTGACCCAAACGAGCCCAGAAAGGTTGAGAGGGCAGGACTAGATGACAAAGGTTACCTTGCAGTAAACAAAGCGGTGGGGAACATTCTCTGCTTTCTCCTTGCAAAGGCAACATTTATTGTCTAACGTCATGCCTCTGTGTTGAACATGGTCTATTGTTAAGACTTTGTTGAGCACACCTACTAGCCAAAGGCTTGGCCCTTTGGCGGTGTGAAGATCTCCCAAAAGTTTTCTAGTAGGGGAGAGGCCAAATGTTGGAGGCAGAACCTCTCTAAGCTTAGAAGCCAAAATTGCAGCTATAATCTTGGAAGAACTATTGATCGAGGTGAGAGGGTGGTAATCTTTTATGAGTTCCCCCCACCTTCATTTTTATGTGTAAGGGCATTAAATGCAGCACTGATGCCCTTATCTATGATGCTTCTCTTCTGAAAATAGGGGAGGACATCTGCTAGTTCTGTGATGATTAGGTGGAGAAAGTGTTGAAGAAGGCCATTAGATAACCATCCTGTGTGCTCTGTTGTGGCTGAGATTGAAGACATTAGCCCCTCAACTTCCGCCTGCTGAAAAGGGCATTCAAGCCAAGGCATTGAGGCCTCAGAGATTTTGTCAAAACTGAGATTTTAGAAAGCTGGCTAGGGAAATTATTGCTAGTGTATAGCTTCCCAATGTACCTGATGGGAGTTCTTTCAATCTCCAACCTGTTTTTCAAGATCGAGCCCCCTCCTTGAATGGATGAGACTGTGTTCTAACACCTAAAGTTTGCAATTTTATGTAAAGCACCAGTGTTTCGATTTCCCTCTTTTTACGATCTGATCCACAATCTCTGCCACTCAAAGGCTTCCTCTTGGTGATTCGTGAATCAGTTCTTTCTACGGCTTTGCTGGTTGGGAGATTTGGCTTTCCTCGAACTGGTCTACTTGAAAGGCCTTCTTTGTCGCTTGGTATCCAAAGTGATCTCTGTTCCATTGCCTGAGCTTATCTTTGAGGAGTTTGCAATTTTTTTGTAAAAATGGTGGCCTGAAGACCGCCATTTAGTGACCAGTTTGGGTAGACATTTACCCTGAAGCCACATGGTAAAAACAGAAGCAGTAAAGGGCCATCAAACTTCAAATATCCTTGTTTCCAAATTCTTTCTATCTACTTTTGTTTCTCTTTATGAGTTTATCTATATTGGTACAACTATCAAAACAGGCCTTCCTCTCAAGATTTCTCAAGTTAATGCTCAGCCAAAAAAGAGAATTCTTAAGTTATTATCTCTTGTTTCCTTTTAGCTCATAATAAAAAATATACATACGTTGGAGTTCCTAGTTACAGTGACCGCTTACCATAAGTTGCAGGTCCCATTCTGGAGAAGAGATGGTCAGGTACCAAAAAAGAAAGAGGTTAGTTTAAATGGGGTTTTTGCAGATAAACTTTAAAGATTCTAATTTCCTCATCCAAACTGGTAAGTCTGCCATTAAGGTTAAGCGTAAGGGTTCCACTGGTGTATGCTTTACATCGAAGATATTCTATTTGCATTCGGTCCTTCACCTTCGCTTCTGATGAACTTTATGATCATCTTTGCCCGTACTAGTATTGGGTGGTCACTCAATAGATCATGGAATTTTATGGTAATATCTCTCAGAATTGATCATGTCAAAATAGATGATTGATATCCCCTAAAACATGATGGGTGCGGTTTCTATAAGGTGCAACCTTAATTAAACAATCCAAATAAGGTGCACCTTAAAATTTTATCATAACATGTAATTCATACCTAATTAGAAAATTTTAAATTCTAAAAATGGTTAAAATAAAGTAGATCTATAAATATATGAAAATCTTGAAAATGGACGGTCTATAGATAATGTGTTGCAAGATGCACTATTTCTGGAGCTCAAAAACTATTTTTTTTTTTTTCATATTCATACATCTCAATGTCGAGATGATCGATTAGAGGGTTTTTTCAACATTAAAACAACATTTCCGATGGATTTTTGAGGTACATATGTGATTCTACATTTTAATGTTGCAACTTTATATAAACTTTTCCCAAACATGATACAAGTCTTTTCTTAATGCGAAATCGATAATTTCTCATAAGAAAATTGGATGCAAGTCTTTGCGCAAGTACAATTTTAAGTACTCTTACCCAACATCTGTGGTCGATGCTTATGGTAAGCGGAGTCGAGTAAATGTTCCTATTAAAGAAATTTGGGTGGGGTGGGGTTAAAATGGTAAATAACTTATCATCCATCGTCCTTGGATAAATTTAGATGGTAAATATTGGGTCTGAGTACACTATTACATGCGCATTGCATTTTGGTTTTACAATATTTCCCTGCAGAAACACAGACTAGTTCATAAGAATATAATATTGGGTACTCATCACCATCCATACTTTTGATAGTGGTGAGTGATCGTTCTTGCAGAAAACATAAGCGGCTTTAAAAGTAGATAACAACTCAATTCTATTGCCCAAGATAAGTATGGATGGTGGATTTTAGGTCTTAGCACCCAACACTTCACAAAGTAAAGAATATACGAAGGGAATTTTACATAATTAGTTTTAAAATTCAAAAGGTATAGCACAAATTTATTGAAATTTACTTTAATTAATTAATCCAAAAAACTTATTGATCAAATGTTCTTTTATCACTTGAATTAAAAGTTTTCTCAATCTCTTTAACCCTTAACCATTTCATTGTAGCTTCATTTGCAAAGAGGATGAGAAGAATGTTTTTTTTTTTTCAATAATTATTGTTGTCTCAAAATAAATGATTTTTTCAAAATTTCTTTTGAAGTTTGAGCTTGGTAAATGGAATAACTGAAGCAACCCAACATCACATCCAATGATCAAGATCAATTGTACCCACATTGTGTCAAAGATAAATGATCTCATTGTATACTTTTTTTTTAATTGTTTATTTTTTTAAAAAAATATTTTTTTAATCCGTATTGGCAAATTATAGTTTGATTTGATTTCACACTACCCATGACAAATAGTTGCAAATGCGTAAACAATGCATCTTTGTAAATTTCCCGTTCCCACTGTTTTCCATTTCTTTCTTTATTTACAAATGGAGTCCATATAATGAGACCATTTTATCCTGGGTATAAGGATGCCACAATTACTTATAACAATCCAATATAAAATTTGATAGCTCGAGTGTGTAGTAAAATTCAAGAAAATTTATTTTGAACTTTAAGCTTGGCTAGTGAAATAAAGGCATCCACCCAATTTTACATCCGATAGTCAATATTAATTGTGTCCGCATTGTAACAAAGATAAATTGTATGATTATATATTGGGTGTGGTTTTTATAGAGCCGAGGCTCTAAACAATCAAAGTAAAACACGCCTTCAAATAGTATTGAGAAATGTGGTATCAATACTAAAAATCTTTGTGATGGTCTTAAAATATATTTTCATCTCTAATTACAAAATTTCAAGCTTAAAAATTATGTAGATCGAACAGATCTATGAAACTTGTAAGTCTTGAAAATTGACAGTCCAAAAATACAGTACAAGATGCACGATTTCGAAACCTTGAAATCCATTTTTTTTCTCATGTTTATACATCTTGATAACGAGATCTTCAATTTGAAGATATTTAGGCATCAAAACAACCTTGTAAAATTTTTGAGGTATGCTCTAATTTGATTGTTTAAAGCCTCGCACTTAGGTAAGCTTTTTGCTTATATACTTTGTCCTTTATTATTGTAGAATGACTTTTTATTTGGATAGGGAAAGAGTATAATAAGATTTTTTATTTTTGGTACGAGGTGATTATAATTAATATTGACTATTAAATATAAAATTGGGTGGTTGTATTTACTTTATTGACCAAGCTCAAAAAAAAAAAAAAAAATTCTCCCAAACTATGTGACACACCCAAAAAGAAAATAGATTTCACATGGGATGGGGGTAAATAATTGTAACCTCCCGTATCGAAGTTAAAGATCTCTTTGTATACAATCCTATCTCCACACACTACTTCCGAATTCCCGCCTACACCGTCTGGCAACAAGTTGCATGTATAGCACATCTCGAAAGCCCCGCCAAAGAGACATGATAGCGCCTTGCAGCGTACTCCAGCGGGAACACAAAAAGAGTTCCTATAAAAGGCTGCAGCCTAAGAACGAAGTTCTCCTCAGACGCTTGATCATCCTCCCATGGCGGCCTTCACCTACACCTCTCCAAGTCGGTTGTGTGATTTAGGGTTTTTGAAGGGACCTCCTGCAAATTTTCATGATAACATAGGGTTTTCTACTCCATCTAGAACAGGTATTCCTACTCGGTACAACCTAGGGCTTTATTTTCCATTAATCAGAAGCTTTGCTGCACACTGTTGTGATCTAGGGTTTTCAAATCCTACAAATGGAGGAATTAAGAGAACTACGAGATTTGTTTGTGCGCTCTCTCAGAATGGATCGCTTCCCTGCCGTAATCCATCTCAGGTTAGCTGCATTTCCATATCATATCCTTCTGAGTTGCTTGAACGAGTGGATGAACTCATCAGGTTATGATAAAAAAATTTCATTGAGATGTAAAAGGGTTGCAGGCATCATTTCCTGAGGTTGTACTCTTAATCTGAAATGAAAATTGATAACTGATCGTAACGTAATTGTTGATTGTTACGCAATTGTGGTTTCTTCTTCATCTATGATGAAAATAAGTGATCTATTGTGTCTTATTTTTCCATAAATTTCTTGATTTTGTGATCAATTTGGAGCTCTGCTTGGCTTCGTAGAGCTCTTTTTCTTTTTTTTGGATAAATTGGCTTTCCAGAACTCTATTATTCAAGCCTACAATAATCATGCTCCACTTTGATTTTTTTTTTTGAATCTATAGTCTGAATGCAATAAATTTCGTTGGCAACCTTCTCCTAGTCTATATTGCAACTGTTACACTGGTCCTCCTTCGTTTGGGTTAATCAAATTATTTGTTCTTATTTTTTGAGATTGTGAATCCTGACATGGATACATTAATCCTACTTCATTTAGATTAGTCAACTTATTTGAAAATCAATCTTCGATTGTGTGAATTTCAGTATAGATACGTCAAATCAACTTCTTCTTTTCTTTTGATGGGTTAATCAACTTAATGAATTTATGTTGTGAGATTTTAAATTTAAATATGATTTCCGTGGTTGAAGTTTCTCATTGTGAGAAAATGCCCTAATTTCAGATTGGGTCTGGTTCAGTAGGGGACATTCATAGATGCAGAAGCAGCCTAGAATCTCTGTTCTGTTATGACAAGCCTATCCCAGAGGAAATTATTGAGAAACCAGTGGGTTTGTCTCTTGGCGAAAAAAGTATTGGGAACAACCCCCGTTGTGTCAATTGCGAAGCAAAAGGTGTGATATTGTGCACCACTTGCACTGGTTCTGGTTTGTATGTTGACTCTATCTTGGAGAGCCAGGGAATAATTGTGAAAGTCAGGTGCCTAGGTAGAGACATTTTTCTCACCCGATTTGTTTTCTATTTAAATTCAAATCGAGATTGCTCTTTTTATTATCCCATAGTGCATTTATTTATTATTGAAATTGCAGAATGACCATTTTGGTTTTTTCTTTCTTTATTAGTTTGAAAGCAGATTTTGCAGTAATCATTATCTCAATAAGGGCACTCGTTTTATTGGTCTATATACCAACTGAATCTATGGTAGGGTTACAAGTTTTATTGCTCGATCTACCGATATCAATTTTCAGATGCAGGTGGTACTTCTTCTGTTTTATCCAAGGTTCAAGGACAAGGCTCAAACTTAGGATTCAGGATTCAGGGTCCCGAGTCCTAGTCCTTTGCACAGACTCAATGAAATTTGTCAGAGACTGGGCCAAGTTTGTACAAATTATAATATTGAAATGTAGGAATCGACTGAGTTTGGCCTGTTCGTACACAGACTCGGCACCTTGCCAAGTCCGAGAAACTAGGGCGAGTTCACTAGGAGTTGCTCGAGTTTTAAAACACTGGTTTGATCTATTGTGAAAGTTGTTGAACAACTGTTTTTTTTTTTTTCTCTATTTTTATAAGTAAGTCTCACCACTAATTTGGTAAATTGTCTCAATTATGGAGATATTATGAATTTTATCCTTGAATATCATTGTTTTTAGGTGTGGCACCAATGGGTGATAAGATGAGAGAAAGTAGATTTAGGTGGGTTGGCCATGTGTGGCGCTGACTCAGTACAACACCTGTTAGGAGGTGCGAATTAGTTCAAGTAGAAGGCTTAAAAAGGGCAAGGGGTAGGCCCAAAAAGACATGGTTGGAAGTAATCGAAAAAAGTATAAGGATTTATGGCGTCACTGAGGATATGGACCTTAATAGAACAAAACGGCGGGTCAGGATTCGTGTAACCAACCCTAATTATTTGGGAAAAAGGCTTTGATGATGATGATGATGATCCTTGAATATCATTGTTTTTTATGTTTTAATGCATGATTGAATTTTTGGATAGTGGTCAGATGTTAGAGGCTGAATGTGTCTGTGATCCTTTGAGGGTAAATAAGGCTCTGGTTTGTTTAAGTGCTGACCTCCACGATGATTTATACATTTTGCATCTTGGTGGTTTTTGGCTTTTCCTAAGGCTTTTTAATGTTCAGTCAGGGGTTCATGAACCCTTACTCTTGCACCTGCCTATCTTTCCAGTCCTAAACCCCAAGGGTTTCCTGAAAATATCTTAGGTTTTCCTGAAATTTTGGACTGGTCTTTGTTTATTGCGGGAATGTAATGGGCTTTTATCATACATGGTTTCCTCAACCTGTAGGTGCATCATCAGAAAATTGAAGATTATATTTAATACATATTTCCCCTCCTAGAGTTTGGCTATTTCAAAAGGGATGAAAAAATAAGGCCCGGTCTGGATGGACCATTAAACAAATTTTCCTCTATGCTCTGCGTAAGTGACAAAGAAAAAGGGTTTCAACAAAAGATTCCATTTTTCAAATCAGGACCAAGTGGATTATGGTCATCTTACTTGCAATGAGATAGCTTCCTTGTAGTTCATGTTGGCGTTAGTCAATCTCTTTAATTTGTTATTCTTTTTATAGATTTATGCTTTGGCTTGTTTCTTTTTTTTTCTAAATTTCATAGTATAAATAGAATCTTTGCGGTCGATTAAAAATGAAAGGAAATGATCTAAAATGGAAGCATCAACTATGAAAGATACAAGGAAATCTTATGTTGACTCCAGAATGAACTTCCGTACCAGTACTAATCATGATCAGTTTCCCCCAAATTCCCTATTTTCAAACTGTAGGAAACATTATACTAGTTTACATGACATGTTCTTCTGCCGCCTGAATTTGTAAAGAGGTTTGCAGAAAATCAGCATGGGCATTGCCACATGTGCCTTAAAGCCCAATAATTTAGAAACTGTTACTTGCATTCTTGTGGCAACTATATATATATATGTATATATATATAACACAATAATTCATACACACACATATACATATACATTCACATACACACACATGTGCGCGCTCGCACACACACAATAATTCATACATAGATAACATGCACATACATGTATATGTCTGTGTCAGTCCTTGTTGATGATATAGGGAACTGTGTCATACTACAGAAATTTTTAAAGCTTCATTTTTGGAAACAGCTAAAAATATTTAATCCTCTCAATAAAAAATCAGTAAAATGCCAATCTACTCGACAATGTCTCATGATCTCATCTGTCTTTTGAAAACGGTACATGGCCAAAAGAAAATGTCCATTTCTTTGAGTCTACAAGTAGATTAGGATTGATAGGGAGTTGGCGTTGGTAATGTATTATGGCTGTGTGTATGGTATAGAGGTTCTGTGAACATGATGATATTCTGGAATGTGAGAAGAGCCGCACTCTGACTCATTTTATAGCCGACATGTTTCCTTATGGGTAAGCAACAAGGACATCGCTGTCCATTGTGTGTTATGAACGGTGGATGTTAACTATAATTTAGTTCTTGACGATTTATCAATATGGATATGATTAATCTCCACCATCCTTGCTTGAGAATGACACTGGAGCCTTGGTTACCTCCATACGCACGCTGTGTGCAGAGTACATGTTCCCACTTCATATTTTTGATTGATTGCATGACCACAGTAAGATACCGTACATGGAATTCATGGGATTTGTGCACATTCTGGTTATTCTCTTTTATATATTTCTGCATCTTAGGTCTCTTCATTTGATTTTTCAATGATTTCCTTGAACTTGTGGCCTTAGAATTGCATTTTTGAAATTCTCTACATTTGTTTTGAGTTGCTACCTTCTTCCTGATATCTAGTAAAAATTCAGGAGAGAGTGTGCGACTCATTAAGTGCTCTCAGTGATCATAAACAGTTGGTTGTTTTCATCCCTGATGTAAAATTTACAGATTCTGTCAATCTATTACTTGTATATTTTTTAATCTGTTTTTTATGTTAGCCTGAGATAGACTGAGAATGCAACTCTAGATTTCATGTTGTGGCACCTGCCATCCTGACCACCTCTGCCTAGAGGTTGTTATATGTAGCTGTGCATCTTCTTTGTGCTTCCTTTTCATTATCATTTGAGAAGCAGATTGGCGTTCTTTTCCTTGCTTTCTTATCAATGTTCAATTGCTCGGCTTCTACTTGAGCTGAGTGACTTGGTGAGTGCCAGTGAACTTGCCCAGAACGGGCTCAAAATTGCACCAAAAAAAAAGAAAAAGGAATGTTGGAAATAAAAAAGAATTAGTAAAAAGTGAAAGAAGTTATAAAATGCATTAAAATCTGCAAAAGATGAAAGAAAGTACATAGAACATGAAATATAGAAAAAATCAATTTATAGCCTGAAGCAATTCAGAATAATCTCTTTCATAAAAAAAAAAACAATTCAGAATAATCTAAAAACAAGAAGAAAGAAAATCGAAAAATAGAGCAATAATAAGAGCACGAATCACCATAAGAAAGAAATATAAAAATTAAATTGAGAGATTTACGCATCATTTATTAGTGATTTAGTAAAAACTGATAATTTGTTAGGACTTTTCAATAAACCTAAGTTTGTCACCAGAACTCGCAGAATAACTCAGCCGAGTTTGAGTCTACTCGGCCAAGTTTCGGAACACTGATTCTTATGCATAGAGTTTAATTTTGCGTGTCACATGTGGCTGCACACACTGCAATTTTTTGTTCTTGTATTTGAGATTTTCAGTCTCTCTCTAGACAGGTCCTAAGCAGCGGTATACTTCACCACTAATCTGTTTTTTGTTTTTCATTCCTTCATGTCTTTATAACATGATTTTCTCTGATGATTATGAGTGGGAAAATAGCTGTTTATTTTGACATGTTTTGGTACTGTTAGGTTGCGGGGGCACTGGGAACATGATGTGTTCAGATTGTGGAGGGAGGGGACATCTCTAGTTCTGAGCTATTATGAACCATGAATCATACTTGGGCTTGGTGATTTGAAATTGAGTTAGCAACGCTACATCTCAGGTTTAATTCCTACCACTGAACTACTCAAACAAGGTCCCCTGCACTCAAAGCTTCAAGCACCCTTCGAGGGAGCGGGCACTGTCATTTATTTACGGTTACTATACTCATAATCATTCTGATCAAAGCTATAAATATCACTTTAGAGAGAGATGTAAGGCTCTCTGTCTTTTTTTGGGATAATATTTGACGAGGTTCTATGAGGCTCTCGTTATTGTTTTCCTTGTACTCGGCCTTAGTTCGAGTTTATTAATTCTTATTGCTGTTGCGTGTGAAGATCTGAGTCAGAAAGAAAAGTGAATTTCGAGACATTAGTATCATCTTCATTTAACAAAAGGGCTGGGCTGGCTCGTGGCGGTAAGGCCCCATACCCAGTAACCATGTGGTTCCAATCCTACTGACACCCCCATGACTGATACCTTCAGATCAGAAAAGCTAACTCTTTAACCTATCTGAAAAAAACGAGTAGGGTACTGTCTTCCTCAATTAATTACCCACAAAAAAAAAAGAAGAAGAAGAAAGGATCATCCTCATTTTAGTCAGGGCGGCATAGAATTTTCTGCTTTTGATGGAGAAAGATGTCCATGTGAGACTTTGTATGTTAGATGGTGATTGCTTAGGAAAGTGCCAAGATTTATTTTCACACCTTCTTTTGGTCGTGCCTTGGCCGGGTTCTGCACTGCGCCTGGACCAAGGGAATCTTGGGTAGGTAAGGCTTACCCCTACTTTTGGGCTGGTGACCAGGCCAAGCCTTTTGAGATTAGAATTATTTATGTTTTACATTCTTTAGAAAAGAAAAGGGTAGGGCCAGGGGTAGCCTTGACCTTGGCCCAGATCTTACCGGACCTATATGTAAGACTCGGGATCAACTCTCGGGCCAAATTCAGCAATTGGGCCTAGTTGGACCTGGCTGTTTAATGCCAAGCTAGACTGCCCAATCCCTTGATAACCTTTAGTTCCAAGGCGGGAGTGAGAAGGCCAGCTCGAGCCCAGCCCGGACTGGGCCAAAGAAGCCTTAGCCTAGGCTTGGCCTTGGCTCAGGTTAGGCTAAACACACTTGACGGAAAAAAAGGCAAAAGAAAGAAAAAAAAAGAAAAGATAAAAGAAGAAACAAGCCTGACGGGACGGTCTGAATCAGCTCTATCATGGCCTTGGCCTGATGCTTAGGCTGTGGTGGATCGGCCGTGGCCACATTTTGCGGCCAACAAGTCCAGTCTGGGCCATTTTGTGGCATACAAGGCCAGGCCGGGCCACCGGCTCATTGCCAGCCCTTCCAGCTGTAGAGAGATAGGGGTTGGGGACAACGACGTGACGGCCATGAAGGGCCTGGCCATGTTCCATTCTGCTGAAATCTGACACCAAACAATGCGTCAAAGGAAACTGCATCTTTCAATACAAACCAATAACTGTCCATATCGATACATAATGTGGGTCTCAGATGAAAGGTAATTTGCTTTTCGTTCAAAGGATCACAACTTTAGTAACTATCAACTTTAAAGCTTGACTTGTAGTCTAAACCCAACTCAACCCCCAGAAGATATTTTAGTACTCATGAGCTAAAGCTGGGCGCTTATCTACATAGCCGACATCTCATCTTCCATAAGCAGCTAAATAATACTAAAATTAAAATAAAATAAAATTGGGATTATATATAATAAGACCATTTAACTCACAATTACATATAACCATCCGATATGAAATATGATGGCTTGGGTGTGGAGTTTGTGCTAACATCTTTTGAACTTTGAGCTTGGCCAAGAGGTAAAAGATAACCCTTCAATTTCACATCAAACGGTCAAGATTAAGTTTGCCCATTGCATACATTTCCAGTAAAATTAGGCATTTACGAGGTTTTTCCTTTTGGGTGTTTATATGACAATCCCTGTAGGCAAAACTTGTGCAGCATGGAGATCGCCTTCAATATTCATGTCATCGACATACTAAGGATATGATATTTTATCTCTAATGCTTTAGAAACTTGAGCATTTTTTCTTAAACATTTCCTCATTATCTTGCTATAGAAGTACTTAATTTTTCTCCTTTAAATTCTTTTCAGACCAGTTTTCGAAAAATTGAACTGGCCAAGGGCGGGGTCCAAGTAACCGATAAACTAGTTGGTTAAACCGGCTTAACCAGATAAGTCCTGACCGGTCCAATCGATTTGTACCTAGGGGTATTTTTTATTTATTTTTTTTAAAAAAGAAAAATGTAAAAATAAGTATTCATGATCAAAAGACTTTCCAATTTTTTCCAAAATGATAAAAAATAATGAAAAACACATTACAAACAAATCTCCCTTTTTTAAAATTTAATATTTTTTAAATTTTTTTTTAAAATACTCAGTCAGACCGCCAAAACTGGATCTATCAGTGCCCAATTCTGGTTTGACCGATCGAGTTTGCAAACACTAGTTCAGACCAATGTTTAAAAGATCGGCCGATTAACTTGGGATCCGTCGCTGACTGATCCCAATTTGGCTCGATTCCAATGGTCATCTATGCAGGAATATTTTTTAGTGTACTAATCGGCCGACTAATTGGACTAATCGGACTAATCGACACTCATTGGTTGAGTAGTGCACTAATCGACGATTCGTTCTAAAAATGGGCCCGATAAGTGCACTACCATGGTTTTTACGCTAGCAGCATATTGTTTCTCCTCTCTTTTTGCCCTTTTTTTTCTTTGGACACGGTTTTTATGCTTCCAGCCCATATATTGTAGAAATGTGGGCTTGGCAATAAATATATTTTTAAATATAATTTGATCTTAATTTATTTTGGACATCATGGACATGAAGAAAAAAAAAAATGGAAAACATAAATAATAATTATATTAAAAAAACATTCAAGATGGACTACCAATTTGCATCCATCTTTAAGATGGATGCTTTATACCTCTGGACCGCATAGAAATGTGGTCCACACACATGAAACAATTTTCCTTCTTCTATTTATGTATTTAAAACTCTATATATTATTACAAATTTTTTATTTGCTAACCGCAGGGTTTGCCGCTTTGGGCGAGTAGACTCAAATGCACCAAAGTTGGTCAGACCTAATAGGGACAGGGTGCCAAAGCCGTAGGTCCCTCAACTCAAGGGATATAAAATTTAGTCGTCGTTCATCTTATTTGATCTTCAGTCTAATACCTACACCACCAAACCCCCTAGGAGCACATAGACATACACATAGACACATATACGAGAGAGCTGGAAATTTATCAAAATTGTCACCAAACCCCTGAGGAATAATTTTATATTTTACTTACATTTTTAATTGAATTCCAAAATACCCAAAAAACAAATATGGTCTTGAGTTGAAATATTATAAAATTATATCATTTTTATTTTTTATTTTATTAATGTAATTTATATTATATAATATATATTGATTACATATTATATATAATATATATTTATTATAGATTGATCATTGGAAAAGTATTGTTTCATGTGCCCAATCATTTTCTCTAAAACCCAATTATGCTTATAATATTTATTTGTGATAATATAAAAAAATAAATAAATGTAAATTTTTTACAATTTTTTTGGGATTTTTTTAGTTTTTTAGGATTTTTTACCAAAATTGAATTTTATCTGAAAAAATCGGAAAACGAATCGACCGATCTAGTCGGAATCGGTCGGACTAATCAGATCGGTTAGGACCGACTAGTCGGCTCGATCCGTTGTTTTGGACATCGGTTCAGCCTTGTTACGTGTGAAAGAAGAGTGTTAATATTGGCATTTCAGACCTTCACTCTGTCATATACACATGCAAATCTGCGTCCATGTAAAATAAAAAATTATTTCTTTGAGCAATAAGATTTCCGAACCTTGCTCCAAACGAAATAGATATAAAAATAAAAAATATCCAAAAACTATCCTCGATGAATAAAGTTGGTTTCATCACCCAGAAAAAACAAAAGAAGGAATTGACAAGATCATTTGTCTACCACTGTCGCGGTCTTTTGGTAATTTGCCTTTCATCACCATCGTGATCCCCAAGCATTACATGTACTATACACAAGTCGTCGTCAATAACAACCTAACACATTTCGATGGTGATCAAACACAATATTTGACCTTTTCCAAAAAATATAAAAAATAGGAAAAAAAAAAATTAAAAATTTACAAGTTGAGATGCTATTCCTTAAAGAATACCACGGCGTGGTTCGGATAGACTTGCCAACCCCCAAAGAAAAGATCGGGTCAAAATTTTAAGGTGACCGGGAATGGTTCCTGCCAATCTTGTGAAACTGAGGATAGAGAGAGAGAGAAAATGAAAAGGGTAGAGAGGGAAAAGAGAGTGAAATTGAGGATAGAGAGAGAAAAATGAAAAGGATAGAGACAGAGAGAGAGAGAGTGAAAAGGATAGAGAGAGAAAGAGAGTGAAATTGATGAAAAAGGATTAAGCAAGAGATCGTGAAAAAATAAATAAATAGATTATTTAGACACGGAACGAGGGTTGGAAGAGTTTGATGCGGTCAGGTATGGTTTCGTCGAAGACAGGGCTCTCCGGGTTCTCCAAAAAGGCGACGTAGTAGGAGCACACGCAGGCTTGAGGCAATGCCAATGCTATGCGAGTCTGCAGTTCCAATGTAGAGAGACACATTGACAAATTATAATTTATGTACAATAAATTTATATAAAGTTGCAACTTTCAAGTAAGGTGTACTTCCAAATCCAGTAAAAAAGAATGTTAAAGGTGTTAGAATAAGAATATAAAGAAAAAAAAGAATTTCAAGTCCCGAAGATTACATCTCATAACAAGTTATTTTGAACATCTATTTTCAAGATTTTTGAGTGTTTATAAATTTTCAATCATATTATTTGTTAAAATATAATTTTAATAATTAGAACAGAACATGAATTGTACAACAAAATAAAGAGATTAGAACGAATAAACAAAGTAATTTGTCTCGCTCTTTTGTATCTCTTCTTGTTTTATTAATGCACATAAAACGAGCCACTTAACTAATTACGCACCCCCACCCCCAATAATCAAACTCTCTCTCTCTCTCTCATTTGTCCAATCCCAATCTCGATCAACCATTAATCATATGCTGAATAATTTTTTTAGGCTACCACAAACGCATCTTTTTCATGGACCCATAAATATCCAAATCGCTGCATTGTAGTAACTTGATCGGCCCAAAACGCCCTCACCAAATCCAAATATAGTACCTGGCTTGTTCCGTCAATTTAATGAAATATTTATGCCTATGAGGGGCGGTTTAGATTTTTTTGAAAGTACTTTTGAGCATCATGAAATATTAAAATCAAACTTCTAAGGGTGGGGATGAGAGGTCAACTTTGTGTCATTGAATTAAGGCGCACTTCAAAGTGATGCGTTTAGGTTGCTAGAAAGGCATGAAATATCTATTCACCCCAAACTTAAAGCTTTTAAAATAATGCAAATTGCACCAAATCTATAAACAGTCGGAAATTTTGAGGTTTTTCTCGTTCAAGTATTGTACAAACTTAACTTTTCCCAACTTTTAAATGCAATGTCAGTTTTGCAATTGGAGCCGCCTCAAGTTGTATTAGAAAATTTATCAAAATTCAGCTACCTTTTCAACCACTCTTTAACAATTTCTTCTTTTTCAACCATTCCATGCAACTCAACAATTTGCCCTTTTGCAACCATGTCCTTCTATGTGTATTTTTATGTAAAAGTATTCATTTTTTCCTTATGGTTAAAATGTTTATTTCTTTGATAAATTTTTCAATCATATGCTTCCGCGATGCTTACCATGGAGTAACCAGTGAAGAAGGCAAACACTGCAACTGCTGGCACAATCTCCTTGTCCACGCCGAGCGTCCACCCTCCGACCAACACAGCGCACCCAGCTCCGCTGGCCACACCGGCCAGCCACCACACCGCCCCCGCCATCTCCCCCTCCACCGTCGGCCCCATCCCCCTCGCATCGATCGCCACCCACGTGTCCTCCGATGCCTGCACAAACCCTTTACCGTGCATGCCGATGTGTGTGTAGCCCCACACGCTCGCCCTCGTTCTGACACGTGCAGTGACCCCCAAGCAGCAGTGAGCACACGAGAACAAGAACTCATCTTCTTGCTCTACTGCATTCGCCACACGTGCGATCAACCTCATCACGCAAACAAATGGCTCAGATAGCGCGCCCAAACATGCGCTTCCAAACCACTTGGTGTGGGCCCATATGAAGGCCTCTCGGGCCCCCACCTCGTTGCCACGCGCGAAGTATATCCCGCTAACACGTGACAAGGCCACGACCGAGGCGGCTCGAAGGGCACCCATGGTCCAATAATAACTAACGCACAAGGCCAAGAGATAGAGGGCAGAGTGTTTCATGCTGGCTCCGCCAACTAGGCCGGTAACCCAGAAAACCGACCATAAGATTCCGACCAAAATAGAAATTCCGATGTATGGATTGGCCGGAGAGACCAGCTTTCCGGCATGTGGTTCAGCAGAAGAGAGGGATTTCCCAATGATCAATGAGGCAAAATCGATTCTTGGAGCAACATAGCAACCATAGAGGGACATGCAAATGGCGGCGAAGAGGGCAATGCCACCCAACACGCCCCCTGCTACCGTGGACGAGCCAAGAAGTATGAAGGCAAAGGCAGAAGTTAGGAATGGGGCTAAAGAGAGACACGCTTTGATGGCGATGAGAGGACGTCTTAGGGTTAGTATTAGCCATGGGTATGAGAAGATAACGGAGGCCGCAGCCGTGGTGAGGAGCTGGGGGTACCAATTGAGGAGCTGGAAACCGCTGCTTGAGGCGGCGATGATCGATCGGACAGCTAGGTAGAAAGTTAGGACAAAGGCTACAAGGAGATGGAGGAGAAAGAAAAGAAGCGTTATGCGGTTTGTGTAATGGGGCCAGTCACTCTGCAACTGGCGATCAGGAAGGTTTCTTTCGGCCTGCGAGTCAAAAGAATAACAAATCAGTCCAGAATCGGGTTTAATTGCAAAAACCAGTAACATAATGAATAATTCAGGGCAACAACATTTTCTTACTAATTCCATACAAAAGCCACTCACAAGATGTAGGATTCATCACAAAAAAGAAGTTACAGAATGGACAATTCAGGGCAGTACCCAGTTTCAGAATCAAATAGTCAGCGAAAAACTGGCCACAAAACGAACAATTCAAAGCAAAATCCAGTCACAAAATAAATAAAAAATCAGTAACGAAAATAACGAAGAAGAGCAAAAGCAGTCAAAAAGTTAGCGGGGAATCAACAAACCAGCCAAAAAGTAAATATATCAAAGCAAAAACCAGTCAAGATGAAATTTCAGTCACAAGGTTTAATGGCATAAATCAGTAACAAAATGAATAATTCAGGGCAAAAGCCAGACACAAAATGTAGTATTCATCGCAAAATCCAGTCACAAAATGAACGATTCAAGGCAGTATCCAGTTTCAAAATCAAAGATTCCACAGAAAAACCAGCATAAAATGAGCAGTTCAAAGAAAAACCAGTCACAAAATAAAAAAAGAGCAAAAACGAGCCAAAAAATAAGCAAGCAATCACCGAACCAGTCATGAAGTAAACGAATCAGAGCAAGAACCAGTCACAAGATGAAATTTCAGGGCAAAATATAAAACAGTCACAAAGTGCTGAATCAGAGCAAAACAGAGCCAGAAAAGCGACGACTAAGTTCCATGACCGTACATCGAGAGGGGCAATCTGACCCGTTCTCTGGTTAACAGTTGGGGCAGATGGCTCCGGAGATCTGCTTTGAGAATTAGGGTTAGGGTGTTGATTCTGTTGTGGAGTAGCCATTGATGAGCTTCAAAAGCTTAATCTTGACTGGTACGAAAGGGCAAATTGGTTTCTCAAATTATATAAGAGGTGAGGAAAAAGGATTTTGATCTGAGGCGGGCATTTTAGGTTGCTGACCTGGCTCTTGCGTTGAATGATGACGTGGTAAAAGGTTATTGGTTTTTATTGTGACGTCATGCAATGTGGGGTCAGGTTTGTTATTTCGCGGGCTTTCCAACGGTCCCTCACGAGAAGCCCGACTTACCGGGACTTTTGGAGTTCAAATTTCCGTTCATTTGTGATGAAAGTTCGGTGAAAATTACGATTTTCGTTTAATTTAGGGAAAATTTCGAGCATTCTGTATTTTTGCAAAAAATTCGACAGAAATTTATGCTAATATTTTTTATGTTTTTTACAATATTGAGAAATTTGATATTTTAAGCCCAATCTATATTTTCTTGTTTTTTCTCAAAAAGGTGCAGTTTCTAATAAGTATGTAGAAATAAGTTTGTGATAATCTAGAGTCTATTTTATTTGGATGTTGTATATTGGATATATATATATATATATATATATATATATAAAACAATATCAATATAACGTATCTTTTAAGATATTGTCTAATTTACACCGTCAAAGTAAAGTTGCAATCTTATATAAAAATTTTCCTTTTAAAATATCCCTAGCTTTGAAATTCCAAGTTCTAAATTGACATACCTTTTTTATCACTAATATATTCACCAAAACGGATCTCTTTACAAAAAAAATCGATAGGAGTTCTGAATTTGGGAATGAGAGGTTTTAGAACTTCAACTTCCAACCGCTTGTTTTTTAGTAAATGATTTGTTTTGTTGGCTTGTAATTTAAATTTCATAAAAAGAGAGCCCCTTTTTTTTAAGTTTCACAAAATAAGAGATATTTACTACTAATATCCCAAAATTCAAATAAGGGAGGCATATTTAACTATCACAAAATTAAAGATATTTACGGTTAATTTTCTGAAATTCAAGAGGCAAAAGAATCTCGAAATAAACCTTCTTGTTTTTTTTGTAGTTAAAAAATAAAAATTTTGATGACAAATAATGACGACAATTTCCAAAAATTTCAAGTTAGTGATCCACCAAACTCCAGTAAAATTGAGAAGAGGTTCCGGAAATTTCGGAACCGAAATTCGAAATTTGGAAGCCGCTAGGTAACAGGGGCCGTTAACAAAACCCCTTCGGTTTATCCAATAAGAGATGAACGGTCCAGATTCAACTTGAAATCCTGGTACAGTTGACGAGTGCAAGAGCTTTTGCGCTGCTTTTTTATTTTTATTACCAAGAATGCCCTTAATGTTTAATTTTGTTATTGTTTTGAATTTTGGGAGGAAGTGAATTGAATGTGGATATTCTTGTCGGGCACGTCAAGAGTTTGCTTGCGTGGGAAGACGGGTTAGACCGGAGTCCTGCAGGACCACAAATGCTTCTTATTTTGGAAACTGAAACGACCTCACTGTGTACGATGGTATTTTCTTCTCCTGGAATGACCCTCTAACCGCAACGAATCATACACGGAATTTGTGCCCAAAATTCAAACGGTCTTGTCTCAAATTTGTACCCAAAATTCTCTCTCACCAAATCTATGCCTTAAATCATAATTCTTTCAATGTCATCATGGTACAAAATTCAAACCGTCTTATCTCAAATTTGTGCTCAAAACACACACACTCTGGCTCTTTCTTTCTAAAACTAAATTTATACCCAAGATTAAAATTCTCTATATTTTATCTTCTTTATCGTCGTTATCGTGGGAGTTTTTCTTTTAATTAATTAAGATTGGCTAAATGAATCACGGTCTATCATTTTGTTCTATTAAGGGTCATACGTTCGATATGATTATGAATCTTCGTATATTTTCTTATTCCTTTCAACCATGTTTTTTCACTTATTTTTACTTTTTTTTTGGTGGTCCACTTGAACTAATTTGCACCTCCTAACAGATATTATACTGGATTTATGCCACATATAGTTAGCCCACATAATTCTACTTTCTCTCATCTTATCGCCGATTGATGTCATACTTAAATTTTTTCAAATGTATTCATTTCGAATTCTATCCCTTATTCTCATGCCACTCATCCATCTCAATATCTTCACTTTCGCTACACCTAAAATTCTATCTTTTTCAAACCGAATTTATGCCTAAAATTAAAACGCTTACTAACTCCAAATTTATGCCCAAAATTAAGACCGTCTCTCTCTCATTTTTGTAAAAATTAAGACTCTCTCTCTAGTTTGTGCCCAAATTCAAGATTCTTTCACTCCAGCATACAGAAGTAGAAGTATGGTAGAGGCACTTTTTCCAAGCTAATTTGCATGAAATGAGAAATACTAGAAATGAAGATTCATTAAGGTTTCCCCACCCCTCTCTCGAGCTGCTGCCTAGCCATAATGTGCTTGTAAAGACAGTCTCCTTTTTTTTCGAAAACGTGGAGTATAAACGCTTTACACAATAGGGAGTCAAGATATCTCAATCAACATTAGATTTATTTCTCAATTTTTTTTTGACTTGGGTACCTCTTCAAGAAATAGAGATTGCATATTATGAAACTTATCTAAAGGTCAGAATCTTTCTTAATTATTGAATGTTTAATCTGATATATTGAAGTATGTCACGACATTTGTGTAGAGTGGTGGTGTAGTTGGCTACGTGTAGCTTATACGAGTAATCAGAGTTCGAGCCTCTCTCAACCCAACTCGACAACCCTTTTAATCTTTACTCCCTTGTTTGAGAATTGGGTTGGGGTTGCGGTTGTAGCACTACTTGTACCGTAGCTATAGTTTAAGCTTCCATTTTCACATAACACCTTAAAAAACTACTAACGATTTAGAAAACAAGTAGGAGCTCGCCATCCCAATTGAATTACCCGACTAACAATTTAAAAAATAGGTAGGAGGTCAACATCCCCACTGAATTACCCAAAAAAAAAAAAAAAATAACAACAAACCCACCACAGAATTGAGCCAAAATGGGTGACGACTCCTATTCATAAGCACAACTCTTGGTATGAAGCTATGCTTATTCAAGAAGTCGTTCAATGGTGGGCAGGGTTCTACCATTAGTGGTAAAAGAATGGGTTTTTGTATAATACACCATTATAATAGCCATGTTAGAAATCTATACTCCCAAAATATGGACTAGTAAATACCCTTATGGCTTGTTTGGATATACTCCTTATCATTGGTAATCCAATATTTCATTAAAAGCACTCAGGCAATAAATTATCAGTTGTTTGGTAGCGTCCATCATAAAATTTTCTTAGATAAAAGTACAGGCTGTTTTACATTTAACTTTGTTTTTTGAAAATTTATTTCATCTTTATTCAAAGTATTTTTTCTAAGTTTGGACTAGAGTACTTAAAATATTTAAGTAATATTGTGTATAATACAAGATGCACAAAAAACAACTAATAAAATAATATTATATAGAGTAGATTAATTTCAAACATGAAAGTCTATCTCTAATAATATTAATTGACATCTAAACAAGCCCTTATTTAATTTTTATTTATTTATTTTAAAGATACGAGTATTATAGGTAATTTTAGAACCCATACTAGATTGCAAGAGAATCGTAGTAAGCTATTCCACTAAAATTCAAACTTCATACCCAGATAAATGAAATCCATTTGTGTTGCCTCACCCCTAAGAGTAAGACAAAATAAGCTTTGATTAATACACCAGTGACATTCTCCATTTTGTAAAATTTCATTACTTTCGGAGGTGCTTTTTGTACTACTAGTCAATTATTTTACGATGAATTTTTCATTTAATGGTCATAATCTTTTACAAAATCATCAACAAAGCCAAAATATCCCAATTAACGTTAGACAATTTGCTTTTTAACTTTTGTTTCACTTGAACACCTCTTCAAAGATATCCTAAAACAATCCAATTACCCTTATTCAAGGTATGAAACCGTAAACATGTGGGGGTTTTTAAGTTATTTGACATACTAAGAGGCCCCAATTAAATGGTGGGAGTACCTTTGTTGTTTCAAGATGGGCCAATTTATTAAGAGCCTCTAATTGTTTAGGGTTCCAATCCTGAATAAAAACAATTTTAAAGAATTTAAAAATATTTATAGGGAGTATCAAAGTAAATTAAAATTTAAAAAGGAAACATTAAGCGTTCTAATTCAGTTTGACATCTCTTGATAACCAAAAGTCATTGAATTATTTAACGAAAAAGTTTATATGAGGTTGCGATCTTAAAATGTACCTAAAAACTCCATTGAAAAAGGTTGTTTCAATGTTGAAAAACCAGCTAATTGATTATCGAGATGTATGAAGATGAAAAAATAAAATTTTGGAGTCCCAAGAATAGTGAATCTTGGAACACATTATCTAGACTGTCAATTTTCAAGATTTTTCATATGTTTATAGATCTACTTGATTTAACCTTTTTCAAAGTTTAAAATTTTATTAGCAGATACGAAAAGAGATTTTCAAATGAACGTGAGAATTTTTTACAGCATGTTATGTTATGATAAAAATTGGAGGTGAGTCTTAATTGGATCGTTTAAGGTAGAAACCTCGTGGAAACGACACCCATCATTTAATATATGTGATTCAATATTGACTCTTTCAACGACCTAAATTAAAACAAAGTGGTCTCCTTTGAAACCCTCAATAATAATTAAAACAAAGTGGGTCTCGGTGTTGCACATGATTCATGTGTAGTTTCCATGTCAGTGTGCCATGTGAGGAGGAGAGAGAGGGTCACAAGCAATCGAGAGAGAATTTAAGATTCTCGTGCCTTTTTCAGAAGAGAGAGAGAGAGATAATTGTGGATGAGAGAGAAGAAGTTGATTTACAAAATTGCAAATGGTGAGTCTATGTTATGGTCTCAAAATAAGTTTTGATAGTAATTACATTTGATTGATTTTGACAGGGAAATAGTTTATATAAGCTCACAATTTTAAAATATAGAATTAAAGATGCACCTCAAAAATGTTGTTTTAATGTTGAAAAGTCTTCTAATTGATCATCTCGACATCGAGATGTATGAATCTGAAAAAAAA